TAAATATTTGCCCCAGGCCTTCTGGGGTGCACTCAAACCGCTACTGGGACCAAACCGCTTTTCGGCGTTTGTGGTTCACTTATGCTGGCCGCGCATCGACGCGGATGTCACCACTGAGCTCAAGCACTTGCTAAAGATGGAATACAGCGTGCATCCGCTCTCCAAGAATATCTGCGTTCCGCTACAGTTCGACCAAATTGAAGAGTTCAACCCTGACGAGTGTCCAAACCTCGCGACGCTCTTGTCCGACGAAGTGTTGTTCGCGTCCCAACTCGCGAAATACGCAACAGAAAGTCCGCGCGAAGCTGCAAAGCCGTACGTTTCGTCCGACTGGATTAATCCTGCGACGTTTAGTTGAAAAAGTCGCTGATCGTCACACTGATCGAAAGTTCACGCGCGGCCGAGACAGAGAAGCCCTGCGCGCACGGAGCAAGACACAGCAAAACCTTCAGCAGAGTTGCTGCCTTTGCGTCGTTTTAGATGATGTAGTCGTCGTTCAGCGCGAGGCAATGCATCGTGGCCTCATCTTAAACCCAGTTGAAAAGTTGCCACACTGCGAACGGGAAATACATCACGCAGTTCCGCAACGCTGATGAACTGTTTCAAAATCAGAAAATTAAAATAGTTTTCTCCCGCGTCCGGAAAACAGTCGTAGTAGTAGACAATGTTGTGGCTCGCCGCATTTATCGCGTTGCTCGGCGCTTGAAAATAACATGTTTTAAATATGGAATTTGGTCCGAATGAATTTATATGGTGATAATCTTCGACGCAGGGCAGTACGCTCTGCGCGTCCAGCTTGATCAAGATTTGCTCTACGACGAGCGATCTTTGGCTGTTCGTTGCCGCGAGAGCGACCAGCTGCGATTTGGCTGTGACGCGCTTGCCACAGTCGCGGAGTGGCCGCTGTTTAGCGTGCCTGCGGCGGAAGACGTGGAGATGCTCTACGCGTTGACGCCCGAACAGCGGTTGCAGCAGCTGCAAGCCGCTGTATGGAAGCTACGCCTCGATTTAGTGGACTGCGTGGCGCTGCTTTTCCACTCTCCGCTGGCGCGGGTGGCTGAACTTTGTGAGTTTTTTTTCTCACAGGGCGCGGAGTCGGTAGTTCTGATCCCTTCTGCACTGGCGACGCTTGCAGCGATGGGCGAGCTAACCGGCTGCGTAGCAGCAGTGCACGGGGAGAAAACACAGACGACCTGCGTGTTGGACGGAAACATATTCAGTCACACGCAAATCGTTATACCAGGGCTCGGCTTCCGACATGTCACTGAGCGTTTGTTGCTGCACTTGGAGACGAAAAAAGGCTATCGCGTTCCGGCGTTTTACCGCAGCATGCTGACTGACTTCTTGTTGCGCAGCTTCTGCTTTGTGCGCCCCAGCGCGGTGCGTAAAGAAGAAATTTCGCGTCGTTGCGAAGCGCAATGTCTCGCTGTGAACACTAACGTAGTGCTGCCTGACGGTACTACCGTTGTGCTGGACGAGGAGCAGTGCGAGCCGCTGGAGCTGCTGTTTGACGCTGCTAACGGACTGCAAATATCTGCGGCGCAGTCAATGGCGGAGCTCGACATTTTCCAGCGCAGCCAAGTTCAAAACAACTTCGTGGTTGCTGGAGGGCTGACGATGCTGCCCGGATTTTACTCGCGGTTAAAAAGCGAGCAGAGCGACACTTCGGCGCGCACTCGTCTCCACTTGTGTGGAAACCAAGACGGAGAGCACATGTTGGGATGTTTCCAGCTGTACAGCGTCATGGAGGCAGGCGATTGCAACCAATGCGTCTGCAGGTACGACGTCGAAGAACACGGACTGCTGCGTTGTCTCAAAAATCTTGTGTGGTTTAAAAGCTAGTGCGATCGCAATCCGCGAACGGCGCTCAACTGCTGCCGCTCTGCTGCGCCGAATCTGCTGCATCAGATCAGGTTTCAGTCTTTTGAAACACTTCCAACGCAACGTCTGTTGACTTATCCTCCACCGCAATTTTCCGCACTTCTAGCCCGAGTTGCTCCAGGAAGGTCAGCGCTTCCGCAGTCGCTACAAGTGCATTTTCAAGCAACTCCTGCGGCGGCATGTCGGCCGTACCGATCAGCACGCGACTCGCCACTGCTTCTCGGACAACTAGTCGTGAAACATGCAACTGCGCGCGGAGCGCTTCTGGCGCAAGTGTTTCGCTGAGCTTCACTGGGTAAGGCAGTTTGCCGTTTCGTAGCGTGGCCTTACCCAAGATCTGTGGCACAATATGAACTACTTTACGGTCGACTAAAAACCAGTCGAACGCTTCGGCTAGTGCGCGCTTTTCGTCCGTGTGATAGTAGTTCTTCTTTAAATGATCGACGTCGATTACCTGGGTGACGAAGCTCAGCAGCTCTTTGTGGCGGTCTAGGAAGTCCTTCCACTTGCGTTGCGGCTTCGCGGTGATGATACACGCGGAGCAGCCGCGGCGCACTGCGTGGGGCAGCTGGAAGTACTTAAACTGCGCTGCGTCTCCGCTTGGCGGTTTCATGTAGAAAAAACTGAGGTAAACGTTCTGCCGCGCGACGCGTCCTACAGCGACCGCCGAGGGCAGTTTGTCTCCAAGTCTCGCGAGACCCCCCAGCGTTTGCTCTAAAACGTCTCGGTATGATTTCATGAATATAAAAATTTTTGGTGAATTTGCCCGCGAAAGCGTTTCGCCCATGATCGCACCTTCGCACCGCGGCGCAAAACTACAAACGAGTTTATTGCCCCCTTCGGGGGGCACCAAATAAAATTGGAAAAATACAGAGAAGATTAGCATTGCCCCTGCGCAAGGATGACAATAATGGTTGGAAGCAACTAGTACTTTTTGCTAGCCACATGTAACGTCGCGTTGGAACTTTTCGTATCTGAACATTTCGTTTTCGAGGCAGAAGTTCGCCCAGTGCCAGTTCACCACGCTCCACCACGCGTTGACGTACTCCGCGCGACGGTTTTGGCGATCCACGTAGTATGCGTGTTCCCACACGTCCAACGTCAAAATCGGCTTGAGCTTCCCGCACTCCACCGGCGTTTGCGCGTCGTGCGACTCACGCACTTCCAACTTGCCTGTCACAACGTCCTGTAATAGCCAGATCCAGCCGGAGCCGAAATGCTTTACGGCTTTCTCAGTGAACAACTGCTTGAACGGCTCAAAGCCTCCGAAGTCGCGGTCCAAAAGCTGCGCGATTGCGCCGAGCGGGAAGTTTAGGTCCATAGTTAGCCTGCGTTGCATGCAGCGCCAGAAGAACGCATGGTTGTACAGCTGTGCGGCATTGTTGTACACCTCGGCGTCGCGCGGCGGATTGCAAATGACTTCTTCGACGCACAACGGTTGTCCGACTGTGAGCCGCACGAAGTTGTTGTAGTACGTCATGTGGTGTCGGTTGAAGTGTAAATCGAGTTGCTGAGCCCCGATATGCGGCTCGAGCGCGTTCAGCGCATAAGGCAAAACTGGCGGTGGCAACATGATGCAATATAATTTTTACGCCACACAATAGCGCTATTTTCTTTATTGCGTAATGCGTCGCTAGTTTGCGGTCAGCAATGCACGCCGCTGACTCGCCAGACGTCAAAAGCGCGCCGCACAGCAACGAGAGTGACGAGTTCTTAGATGCGCCGCGCGAGCCGCGGCAGCTAGCGCAGCGTTCCAAGGTACTGAAGATCACGCACCGTCGCGTCTTCGGAAGCGAGCCCGACTTCCCGCTGCTCAATGGCTGTTTCGGAGGCTCTGGCGTGCGCGTGGCGTCCGCCAGTAAAATCGCACCAACGGTGCGCGACGTGTCGCCTGCTGAAGGCGCCGACGACGAGCTGAGAATGGCTGACGGGAAGCTCGCCAAGTCCATTTCGGATTCAGCCTTTGTCGCTCACGACAGTGGCGCGACCGCAGACTCTGCCAGCGAGCTGTTCATTGAGTCGACAAGCGAGCCGGAGAGAGACGCGCTGAATTTGCCGCTTTTGGTTTGTCACCGCGAGACGGTAGAGCTGCGTTTTAAGTTGAAGGGTCGTAGCGTGTACGTCGACGCGGGCATTGCGTTTGCGTACGCAAGCAAGTCTGTCGCAATCTCGCTGACGACGCGCAGTCAAGTTTTCCACACGCAGCACCCGGACACGACGCTCGTTTTCGGCGTCACGCACGTGCATAGAGAGAAATTCGTCGTCGTCTCGCTCTCGCTTTTCGGCGGCGTGTTGTACACCAGTAGCAAGGTCAAGCACATTACTTTGCCGTTTCCAAACGGCTGCGCAAGGCAGTGCGTCGCGACTGCGTACCTGCCGACGACCACCTGCAACAAGTTCGTGTCGCTGCTGTGTGCGCAAAACTTCGAAAATTTTGATGAATTGGACCGCCAGAAAGTTTTTAACATCGATGCGAGTGACTTGAAGAATCTGCCCTTCGCGGACCTTGTGGTGATGCAGGTCCCTGCGGCAACCGTGCGGCTTCGCGTGTTGCGGGGCGAGAGCCCGCTCATCAAGCCGGGCTACGAGATCGTGGCTTGGACGCCGGGCATTCAGTTCGACAAGTCGCGCGTGCTTTCGCGCATCTCTGTCGCGCCCGAGCAGTCCGAAGGCCACATTTGGCTCGCGCGTTTCAAGTAGCGTTTGGCTTAAACATTTCGGAGTACGTTTGACCCAGCTGCGCGTCGTGTTTTTTTTTTGCTTCGCAGAGTTCTGCGTAGAATGATTGGTGTGAGGGGAGCACTTCGCCGTTCCCAAAGTTGCGCAGTGCGCCGACCGCTTCATCAAACTGCGCAAGCATCGCCTTTGCCTTCGCCAGCCGCAGCGTGGCCTTCTCATTCGACGTCAGCTTAAGCAACGTTTTCGCGTACGCTGCCGCCTGCAAGTAGTCCGCTCGCTTCAAATAGCAGTGCGAGATGTTGTTCAGCAGCGCAACGTACGTCTCTTTTGCATCTGTCTCCGACTCGCTGCTCCAGCCATTTGAGTCCGACAGCAGGTCGATTCCGTACAAATAGCTGCTGATCGCCTTCTCCAAGCTGTCAGCGCGCAGCATCATGTTGCCCTCGAGTTTTGCAATGCGCGCCTCGCGGAACCGCTCGTGCGGCGACAGTTCGTTCTTCGGTCTCCGTTTGTCGACCTCCGCGAGCCGGATCTCGTAGATTCGCGCGGGCGGTGCAGCGCAGTCCTCGTATACAAAGAAACGCGCGCGCTCGCCCTCTCGCATCGAGCCTGTCATTGCGTCTACTTCCTCAGATACCATTTTGCGCCCGTGGCGAAACGCGATCTGTGCGCCTCGCCCTGCAGATGCGTCCAACGTGCGTCCGTCGCTTCCCGTCACCGAGTACTCGATGCCCACCGCGTCGCCGGCGCAAGGCCTGCGCCGCTACTACCTAAACCTACTTGCTTCCGCTGCCTGCAACTAGCAACGCCTTGCGAATACGCACGCTGATCCACGCGTCTGCGCAGTTCTTCGGGTGGTACATAGTTCGTCGTGCGTCGAAAATACAGTGAAAATATAGCGCGCCCTTTATCTAATATCACGCTAGCTATTGATGCGCCGCGAACGGGAAACGTGCGCAGTGATGCCGGAGGCTTCACCCTCATACCCGCCGCGCTCGTCCGCCTCTTCGTGTTTGCGCCGGTGGCTGCTGAGCTTTTTCAGCTTGCGCGCGTAGCGCTCGCGGTTGTGAACGCGAGCGTTGCCTTCCGTGCGCTTGCGCTTGCGCGTCAACCCCTTGTTCTGCAACATCTCGCGCGTCGCAGGTCGCGGTAGGTCTGCGCGTTCCAGCTTCGATGGCAGCTGCGGTAGCTGCTGCAGCTTGCGCAGCGCGTGCAGCTCTTCTCTCCGCTTTTTCTTCTCGCGCATTGCGCCACGCAGCGCTTCGACTGACTCGACAGCGCAGCTACGTTTGTTCGTCGTGCTCGCGGCTCGCTGCAAGTCGACCCTTGCTACGTGCTCCAAGGAAAACCGCGCATCGGTGTCGTCCTCTGCTAGTAGCGCGCTTATGGACACACCGCTGCGATTCCCTGCGCAAGTGTTGGCGGCAGCACGAATGACTTCGAGTTCCGCGCTGCGCACGCGCTTTGCGAGGTGTCTCGCAAACTTGCGGTCCATGGCTTCGAGTGTGAGGACCAACTCGGTAAACAATTCGTAGGCCACGAAATCATTCGCGAGCAGCAGCGAGAGACTCAGCATCGAGAGCTTCACTTGGAACTCGAACAAAGCAACGCCCTTCTTCGTCAAAGCAAGCTTTTTAGTTGCATGCTCACGCAACGCAGGCAGCGATATTTCTTGCGCAAATTGCGCTTGTCGCGCGTGCAGACTGCACAACCCGCTGCGGAACTCCGCCCTTTCGGCTGCCGGCTGCACTGAGAGTTGCGCAGTAGCTAGCGAATTCATGATGAGGTTAAGCATTTCCGCGTCGTTCGCTGTCGCCGGCTTCTCGGCCTTCGTCCCCTGTGCCGCTGTCGCTTTAAATGCGTCAGCCATCACGCTATTGTTCCTTATGAACACGTTTCGCACGTTTAGTGCCTCCTGCAGCCGCAACTCGAGTTGCTCTGGGTTGGATAAATCTTCGGATGCATCGCTCTCGACGTGGTAGTTCTGCTTCTTAGTACCCCAGCGAAGCAACTGCTGCGCCGGTTCGCCCGAAAGTGCTTCGACCATCGATTCTATCGCATACTCCGGCAACCTAACTGCACCACTATCGGGAGTGCTGGCATTACTGTCGCTACTGCTCGCGAGCATCGTTCTATGAAGCAGCTGGATAAAACGAGTTGGCTGCTGAAACTCTGAGCTGCGCTAATCGCTCAAAAAATTAGTGCAGACTTTTCTTTTCTGCTATATTTGGCATTGCACTTGGAGAGCTTGCGTAACAGCCGCTGCTAAAATGTGAGACGTAAGCTTGTTGTGTAGTGCAAATACGGGCCGTTCTGGGAATCGAACCCAGGACTTCTTGCACCCAAAGCAAGAATCATACCACTAGACCAAACGGCCACAATCTGTGCGCATTTCAATGGATAGGATTTATTCGGTTGTATAAATGCTGGACGCGCGAGCGTTGCGAATCTCAGCGGCATCGAGCTCGAGCCAATCCGGTTTAATCAGGTCCTATAGCTCAGTCGGTTAGAGCGCCAGCCTAATAAGCTGGAAGTCGGCGGTTCGAGCCCGCCTAGGACCACTCATTTTCGTGCCCCAGGTGCGGCGATTCCGGCGCATTATTCAAAATGTGCTTCTCGCTGAGTAGGCTGCAGCTGCGACTCCGTCGGCGCAACAGGATTGTGCTTGGAGACCGCATTGGCATGGGAAGTTTCGGCGTCATCCGCAACTGCCGTTTAAAGCACAGCAGACAAGAGCTAGTCTGCAAAATTTCGACCAAGGTATGACCTCTCGCACGCAACGCAGAAAAAAAACGCCGACAGCAAAACTGACCCCGCCGAGATGCTGCTCCGCGAAGCAAACCTGCTTAAAACTCTGAAGCACCCCAACATCGTCTGCTACATAGATTTTTTCCGCCGAGGCAACGTGTACCATCTGCTGCTGAACAGATGCAGCGGCGGAGAATTGCAGTCGTATATCAGAGATTCGCAGTTGTTTACCGAAGACGCTACGCGGCTCATAGTGTTTCAAGCGCTACAAGCGCTGAAGTACTTACACGCCAATAGCGTGGTGCACCGCGATGTCAAGGCCGAAAACTTTATGTTCGCCAAACCAGTCGAAAACAATCGCTATTTGATGTCGCAATGCCCTTTGCTGCTCATCGACTTCGGCCTGAGCATTCGAATGCAGGGAGAAGAACTTCTCAGTCAACTTTGCGGCAGTCCGCACTACATTGCGCCCGAAATCATCTACCACAGTTACTCTTACAAAGTCGATATTTGGGCGTTAGGTGTGTTATGCTTCTACCTTCTGTTTGGCGTCTACCCGTTCGACAAAGATAGTAACGACGCGCTAATCCACTCCATTTTAATGGAAGACCTGCGATACCCGCAGAACGTGCCGGTTACAGCTGAGGCAAAAGACTTTGTTGGCGCGCTGCTTCGAAAACGTCCGGAAGAACGGCCTTCCGCGAAGGCAGCGCTAAAACACAAGTGGTTCTCCAACCTCGATTGCGAATCTCTTGTTCAGTTTCAGACGTCGAAGTTCTGTGACGGTTACCAATCAACTGGAGATGTTGGCAACCTTGACAAAATTTCGCGTGAAAACAGCGTCCGCGCGCTCAGCTTGCACGTTTCGCTAGAGGATATGACTTCGCATCTCGCCAAATATACCGTTGATGAAGTTTCGTTGCGACACTGTCTCGCTCTAAACCAGCCGGACCCTAGTAGAGCGCCGCATCACTCCACGCCGTCCCAGCGCACTGATTCGCCCTACGCGTCAAAGCGCATTAGTGAGTCGCAGGATTGCGCAGATTCTCATCAAAAATGCGAACACCGTCCCATTTTAAAGAAAAACATGAGTCTAATCGCGTCGAGCGACATCAAGCGTTTTATGGCCGCATTCTGAACTCACTGCGCAGCGGCTTTTGGTGCGGAAATTTCGTTTGATGCATGCACTATTTCCTCACTATACACTAATTTCGTTTGGCCATCTGCGATGCTGTGGTGCTGCAAGTGCCTCACTCGCAACATCAACCAAACAGAGATCACGTTCGAAAGCGATGACGACGGTAGGTGGCTAGCGCACCGAAGTAGCCAACAGCAGTTTTGACGTTTCGAAAGCAGACACGATCGACAAGAACACGTTCAAGCGGCTAGTATTTGAGATGATTTCAATGTTGCGCGCGAACGGGCTGCGTGTCGTTTGGACATTCGACGGAAAGCAGCTTTGCGCATTACTGACGCTCGACGAAACGTTATCCTTCTTTTCGCTTCTCGCGCAATCGGGAGCCGAGTCGCTAGCTGTGCAAATTCCGATTAGCAGCGCATTGACCGCCAAAGTGCAGCGCAACACGGCTTCCGAAATGCTAATGATCAGCGCTCCGATAAAAGTGTTTCCGCGCGGCTCCTGCAGCGTAATCTATATTGCGCTGGACAATCCACAGCTCAACATCGAAGTACTGGCAGCAACTATAAGAGTGCTTGTTCAAATGCATTTTTCACACTAAGGCTAAGCGACTGCGCAGTGGCGCACAAAGTGCTTCAGCCCACGTGGTTTTCCGAATACGCGGCAAACAGATTTTTCAAAACCGTGTTTGCGAAAGAGGCGCGCTCCGTCAAAATGCAGGCGCTCAACTTTCGCACATACACTGCGTGCGAGCGGAGCTGCTCGAGCGAAAAAAGAATGCGCAGCCGTTGCATGTGTGTTATAACAGTTTCAGCTGCTAGCAGAATGAGTGGCACTGCAGCCGCCGTCTGTAATTGACGCTCGCGCCTGTTGACGAGCAGCAACTGGTGGAAAGCGTGTTTCTTGAGCGTTAATTCCATGCGCTCCGCCAAAGCAACTCTGGTGCCGTCCTTTGCGCACTTACAGATTCGCAATAGCTTTCCTCTCGTGCGCGGTGACAAGGGCGAAAAGTTTAGCAGCGCTGATGGCTGCTCGAACCCGCAACACAGCCTGGATCTTTTGCTGCGCGGCCAATATTTGCTCAACGAGAAGCAGGTCTTCGTTGCCTTTCTGCATGAACCGCAGCAGTCGGCAAAGTTCAAAGAGCGAAAATCGTTTGCAAAGAAATTTACTGTGTGTACTGGTCTGCTAGGCGCAGCGCCATAAACAGAGTTGCTTCATTATTTTGAAAATAATGGCTTGGAGCGAAGTAAGACGCAGTTGATGAATGTTTCGAAGAAGCGCAGCTTGGAGAAACTGAACGATGCGAGCTTTGACATAAGAGCTTTCCGAGATACATGTGCGGACAGATTCGAGCTTCTGCTGCTGCTGCAAAACTTGCAGGGCGCCGAGCTCCAAGTAGAATACGCGCAGCTGCACGATGCGGTGTTCGCGGAATGCGCCCGGCAGTGTTCTGCAGACTGCACACTAAAGCTCTCCCGGGTGGTGCTGAGCTTCATCGAGTGCATGCTAGAAAGCCGCTGCTCACCATGGCGCGGCATGATCGAACCACTCGATAAGTTCAAAAGCTGGAATGAAACGCAAGTAGCAGCGGAGCTGTTGAAGGAGCTGTATCAGTCGCAGCTGAACGTGCGTCGCAAGAAGCTCAAAACCACTGCAGAGTTCAAAGTGCTGGAATTCCCGGCTGAAACGCGAATCGCCGCGAGCGACTTGCAGCTCGCGCGGAAACTGCAGGACCGTCGAATTACGTTGAGCAAAGTAATTGTGCGGCATATCTCCGAAAGTGTTGAATTGGCGCGGCGGCGTCGCACTTCTCGGGTCCAGAGAGAACTGAGGGAAGCTACGAAATTGATTGCGTTGGAAATTTCGAAGACTTGGTCGCTGTGTGAGGAGCTGAGCATCTGGCGAATTAAAAACCAAAAGCGTTTGCTTGAAGACCGGCGTCGCGAGCGCAAGCTGCGAGCCTTTGTGCGGCGAGCCGAGAACTTCACGCGCGCCTTTTGGAAACGCGTAGAATACAATGAAATGCTCTGCGAAGACGAAGAGGCGGAAAACTCGATGGAGGACGAAAGCGTCTCCGACGATGCAGACTTGGAGGAGCTGAGACAAGATGCAGCTGTCGATTTGGCGCAGCTATGCGAGCAACATAGCCGCGCTGCGCAAGCGCGCGTGCCTGAGCCCGAATTTGAGACAGCGTCAGACTCAAAACCTGAGGCTCGCACGCGAAGGAAGCGCTCCATTTTCTCGCAGTACCGCAAGCGATTCACTGAGCCGACTAAGAGTGCTCCCGACATATCTACAGCCGCAGTCGGCGTGGCTTGCGTCGAACAACTTGGCGACGCGCCAGCTCGCGCAGCGGCCTTATCCGGCGACTGCGAAGCGGCGGCGGCAAAAGCGGATCACGAGCTTCGCGGCGACGAGCTTGGCGACGATGTTGGCGACGAAGTTGGCGCGGAAGGCCCGCAGCCGAGTCCGCTGCTGCACTGCGAGTTGCGCAAATATCAGCTCGTTGGGTTTCAGTGGCTGAGCAAACTGCACTCCAACGGCGTCTGCGGCATTCTAGCGGACGAGATGGGACTCGGAAAGACGGTTCAGTCCATTGCGCTGCTGACACACCTGGCGACGTGGCACGGCATTTGGGGTCCGCACTTGATCGTGGTGCCTTCCTCCGTGTTGTACAACTGGCATAAGGAGCTGCTGAAGTTTGCGCCGAGTTTCCGCGTCGTGGTTTACGACGGCAAGCGCAACGAGCGCGAAAAGAAGCGGAAAGGCATGTTCAGGAAACTCGCGGTGAACGTGGTGCTAGTGTCGTACAACGTCGCGGTGACTGACGTGGCGCACCTGCGGCGGCTGCAGTACTACTACCTCGTGCTGGACGAAGCGCACTTGATTAAGAACTTCAACTGCGCGCGCTGGCGCTCGATTCTCTCGTACAACTGCCAGCTGCGGCTGCTGCTCACCGGCACGCCGCTGCAGAATAATTTGCTGGAGCTGTGGGCGTTGATGTACATGGTGGTGCCGGGCTTGTTTGGAAATCACCACGACTTTGGCGCGCTGTTCAACTCGCCACTGCTGCAAGCGATCAGCACGCAGAGCGGGTCGGCGCACGTCGCGCAAATCGTCGAGATGCTGCACAAGGTGCTGCGCCCGTTTTTGCTGCGTAGACTCAAGGTTCACGTAGAACAAGAACTGCCGAAGAAGACGGAGCGCGTGGTGCGCTGCATTCTCACGTTGCGCCAGCAGAAGCTGTACCACGACTTGATCTACGCGTTCGACAAGTCTGCGCAGAGCGCGGCGAACCAGCCGTCGACGTTTTCACGACTCAGCTTTCTGTACAGTTTGAAGAAGGTGTGCGATCATCCGTACATGGTGAAGCCGGACTACCGCGAAGCCGCGGTTTTGGTCCCGGCGTTTGCGGTGCACCGCTGCCTGAATCCGCAGTTCAAGTTTCTGCGGCAGGCCGGCGAACAGTGGCCGGGGTTGCTGCGGCTGCGGGCGCGCTGCGACGCGGCGCCGCTGCCGGCCGCAGCTGCGCGCGCGGCGTTCTGCGCAGCGGCGCAGTCCGAAGTGGCGCAGCACTTGGAAGGCGTTGCGTTTCTCGAGACACCGTTTGACCCGGAGCGCGACTGCGCGTGGGCGGTGGAGTTCGCGCTGCGTAGCACGTTGCTGTCGAGCCCTGTGACAACCGAGGAGCGCGCGAGTTTCGCCGAGACAGTGTTGCCATTCCGGAAGTCGGCGCTGTTCAGCCGTCTGCTGCACTCGCTGAGCGGTGATCGGCGGCTCGCGCGGCTACACGAGGCGGAAGTCGCGTTGTTTCGCGCCGCGGTGCTGCCGCGGCGGCGCGCTTTCTTCGAGGAGAGTTTGATGCGCCAGCACAGCTGCGCAGCGACGTCGCTGAGCGCGGCTGCGTGCATGGCACTGCGCGCGACGCGCGCGAGCGCGCCGCGACTGTCGATTTGGAGCGAGCCCGCCACGCGCGTGGCTTTGCGCGTATTGGCTGACGTGTTCAAGATGTTCAGCTCGCGCACGTGCTTCGCGCCCGGCCGGCGCTGCTGTTATGCGCCGCACTGCGCCCGCTCGCCGCGCTGTTCGAATGCGGCGCAGGAGTTTTTGTTCGCAGGCTGCGGCGTGGAGCCGGCGGTCGGTGTCGCGCCGCTTGGAGAGTCGCCGGGCGAGTCGCCGCGGCGTCTGCAGAGCGGCGCTGCGCTGGCTGCGTTGCGCTGCGACCAGCCGGGCGAGAGCTTGCAGCAGCTGCTGCAGCACTGTCGCCGGCACGCGGCGCCGGGTGAGTCGCGGGAGCGTCGTGCGCTGCTACGCAACGTGCGCGCCACACGCTCGCCGTCTCACGAGCTGTTCGCGGAGCCCGGCGATCCACCGCGCGAGTGTTTTGCGTTCGCTGGCTTCGACTCTGCGAACGCGGCGCCGCTGCTGGAGCTGCCAACGCGCGTGGGGCCGAGCTGCCTGTTTCTGGGCAAAGACGAAGTGGTCACGGCGGCGGCGATCGACCTGGAATTTGAGACAGGTAAGTTTGTAGAGCTGAAAAAGATTCTGCGCGCGGCGAAGGCGGACGGGCGCAAGGTTTTGATCTTTACGCAGATCACGGCAATGCTCGACCACCTCGAGCGCTTTCTGGCGGCGTTCGGGCACCGCTACGTGCGTTTCGACAGCAAGCTGAAAATCTCGCAGCGGCAGGTGGTGATCGACCGCTTCAATTCGGACCCGCACATTGGCGTGTTCATCACGTCGACGCGCGTGGGCGGCGTGGGCATCAACTTGACGGGCGCGAGCGTAATCGTCTTCTACGACACGGACTGGAACCCGGCAGTCGACCGCCAGGCGATGGATCGCTGCCACCGCATCGGCCAGTCGCGCGACGTGCAGATCTTCCGGCTGATCAGCGAGTTCACGCTCGAGGAAAACATTTGGCGCAAGCAGCTGCAGAAGCGTCGGCTGAACGCGGTGATCGTGAACCAGGGCCAGTTTCTGCACGAGAACTACCACGACTACGTCGCGCACAACACCACAGACATTCTGTTTACGATCAACGCCAATGACGAACTGTACGTCACGCGCGAGCTGCACGATGTCGCGCCTGCGCCCGCGCCGACGCTCGCGTCGGGTGCGCTGCAGAGCGAGTTCGCGGCAGTCGAGGACGAGGAGGACCGCAAGTTGTTGCTCCGCACGCCGCAGAGCGACGCGGAAGACGCGCCTGAGCCGCCCACTTCGCCGTCCGCGGGCGCGCAGGCGCCGGTCGACTTTGCACTTTCGGACGTGCGGAGCGTCGCACTCGCGCCCGTGCTTGCGGAGAACGTGGCTTTTCTGCTGCGCTCCGCGATGACGCGCAACATGTGTGCGCAGTTCCGCAGTTAGCGCTTCGCAAAGAAGCGGAAAAGCAGACTCACGAAGTGCAAGAAGAGCACCAGCGTCATGAATGCCAACGCCATCACGATCACCTTCGCCGGGGTGCTGCGAACGCGGTGCGCGAACTTACATGCTTTGCGGCGCGAGCGCGCCGTCGAGCTTGCTCAGCGCGCGCGCGGGCTTCTCTGCAGCGGGCGCGGTCTCCACGAATGTGCCACGCTTGGTGAGGCCTTTTTGCTTCGCGAGGTCGGCGGGCTTGCTGCTGCTCATTTTTCAAATATTTTGATTTAGCGGCGTAAATGCATGGACGCGCTGGCCCAGGGCTTTTTTTCGGCGCTTGCGCACCTGGACGAAGACGAAGCGAGCTGCGCTGAAAAATTTCGGCGCACGGTCGCCGCGGTCTGCCGCGCGCTCGTCGAGGCGGACGTCGCGATCGAGCTCGTGCAGCCACTCAAGCGCTGGCT